CCCATTTAAAATTCAGATGCATAGGGGAAATAATTGGGAAATATCATTAAAGAAAACTTTTAACAATTTGTAACAGAGTGGAGTTGTCAGGTTCTTTTTCTCTGCCCTCTACTTTTCACTTTTTCTTAGTGGGTTTTGGTTAGACAGAGAGAGAGAGAGAAAGTGTTTAGAGCAATCATCTCAGCTCTTCCATCTTGACCATTATACGCTCCTATGGGAATTTTTTTAAAAAAATATATTGATGTGGGCCCTCCCTGGTGGCGCAGCGGGTTAAAACACTGCACTAAGAAACTAAAGCCACTTACGCATGAGTTCGATCCCCGCCTGCCCCGGAGGCGACCACATGGTGAGGCAGACCTCTCCTGACCCGCCCACTGCTCCCCTCAGCAGTGTACTTCGTCGATCTGCCTGTTCTGCTCCCCGCTCTGTCTCTGGTGAACCCTCTCACCCTCCGCATCTCTGGCCTGTACCCCAGTTCTGTACGAATAAATAAAAAAAAATATATTGATGTATGCTTACAGAACTGGGGTACAGGCCATAGTGCAGGGGTGGTGAGAGGAGACACCAGAGACAGAGTGGGGAGCAGAACAGGCAGACTGACAAAGTACACTGCTGAGGGGAGCAGCGGGTGAGACAGGAGAGGTCTGCTGCGCCATGTGGGTCACTTCCCTGGCTGGAGATTGAACCAATGCTAGGAGACTGTGGCCAGCTTCAAGTGCTGTGCTTTAACCATTGCACCACCAAGGAGGGCCCCTGAATGGATTTATGGGTAAAGTGAACCACTCTTGGCTTTTCGCTGTGCTTGTCAAAATGTGACGTGACAGGACCGACATTTGGAACCAACCATAGTTCAAAAATAATGAGGGTCCGTCCAGGGACCTGGGAAGGTTGCTCCTCCCAGGGTACTCTTTTCAAAAATGTTCCCTTTCTTGCTGCTTGCACAGAAGCTAACCAGGGATTTAAAGTGCAGCGTTAACCACCCAAAAGGTTGGCTCCACATCCGGAATAAATGTCTGTGCCTGGTTAACAGAAACCCTCTGGTTTGTTTCTGTTACATGGGCACGTGCCACAACAATCAAGTATTTGTAAATTGGGGGAAAGTGGAATATTTGGAATTTCTATCTATATCAAATGAGGAAGTACAGGAAAGTGATCTTTTGTACTTGAGGGCAATTTTATGATTTCTCTGATCTGAATGAACTTACAGGAAGGTGAGTAAATTTGAAATTATGCAGGAAACATCTTTCTGGAAAAGAAGGAACTTTTCCTGAATTCCATTATTTTAAAAATAGTTTTTTCCCCTATTCATTTCCTCTATGCCATATGCCAATAAGAAAAAATGTGTCACTGTTTTAACAAGAAGAAGAATATATAGATAATTTTACCTTTGAGTCTCAGAAAAAGTGGAATAAAAGCTGATGTATCCTTAGGGCACAGTAAATCTATTTATTGCTCCATCAACTTGAAGCCTGCAGCCGAAACTGTCATTCTGTCAGATAGGCAAACTTTTCTCAGGAAGTACAGTTGACTTTTTCCTATTTGAAAAATCATGGAAACCTCTGAGTGGGAGCAAAGTTTAACACTAATTTACATTTGCAGTGCCTCTAACGATAAAATTGTAGACCTGAGTTAGAAGTGAAGGTGCCTAATATAAACAGACGTGGGTGTCCGTCTCTGATGGGCTAGTGCAAAGAACTGTGGTTGGTTTTGTTTTGTTTTACCAAGTCCAGAGAGCCCCTGTAAAGGGAAGTTACATTTCTAAGCCCTGTCTTTGTGGATCTAGTATTGCATTCACGGAACTGGTCGATCTTCTGCACCTTAGCTGGCTCTTGAAGCTGTGTTGAGGGCAGTGATTTAGCGCGAATCCAGTGACACTCTTTGGAAGCAGAGGCTCATCATGGCTGTAGGAAAACAACAAAATATCTTCGAGGGATATCCCCTGCTCATTCGGGGATATTAAAAGCAGGACACTTTTCAGTCAAATGCTGGGGTTAGATGGTTCTAAATTTCTTCGGGTCTCCTGACTACTGACTTTCTTGCCCAACCCAATATTCTAAATAAAAGTACTTTCTTCACCCCATAATCATTTCCGGTGGGAAGAGCAGAACTTCCTGTTCGGTCCCCCAACACTTGCTCTTTGAATCCGAAGCCAACGGGGGTTTAGGACATTGTGGACTGCTGGGTGTACAAAGCCTTCCAACTTTGGAGCACTCTAAAAATGGCTAGATTCAAGGAGTTTGCAGCGAATGTCTAGGAAGACTAGGCTAACAGAGAGAGCCCACTGATCGCTGACGGGGCGCTCCCTGCAGGTGCAGTGTGCTTGTGTCCTCAGGGCCCTGGCTCCTTCCCGGATGGTGCTTGTGTCCTGCAAGTATAGAGGCCAGTGCTGATCACTTCAACCCACTGGCCTTCCTTTCCTAGTAACTGGGAAATGCGTGAGCCCATCCTTTTTAGTTCCTTTTGGGACAGATGACTGAGATAAAGAGAGCCGTCGACATGCAGTCTAGGGCTATACAATATGACTTTCTCTGGTCAGAATTGATCACAGCCGACTGGTAAAGGTAAAAATCCAACTGACAGGCTTTAGCCAAAGGGCAGCAAAAAAACCCTTTACATGGGCCCTCCCTGAGTTAGGATGCAACACTGCAAGCTAGCCACAGCCGCTTCCATGCAAGTTAGATCCACAGCCCCAAGGTGATCCACATGGCGCAGCAGACCTCTCCTGACCACTGCTCCCTCTCCCCGCTGCTCCCCTCAGCAGTGTACTTCATAGATCTGCTTGTTCTGCTCCTTGCTCTGTCTCTGGTGAATCCTCTCACCGCTCCTGCACCTCTGGCCTATACTCCAGTTCTGTATGAATAAATAAATCTTAAAAAAAAATCCTTTGCATAAGCAGTTACAGGCATGCTTTGATCTCATAGTCTTAAGAGTTGGGAGCTTGCACCTCCACTTACCAGTTCTCTACCGTGGGCATGAGACCAGTATCCTTGTGCCTCAGTTGCCACGTATGTGCAGAGGGAATGCAGGGAAACCCACCTTGTCGGATTGTTTTGAGGATTAAATATAGATACAGCACTTGGACTTGAGGCAAACACATAGCACAGTTTAGTATATATTGACTACTACTGCTATCTGCCTCTGTCGCCTTTTATGAACAATTTAATTTACATTGTTTGCAATTACACTTTTGAAATATTTTTATAAAACTTCCCTATTTTTCTGTAGTTTGTGATGGACTTTTCCTAGGAAGCATGAGGGAATGTCCTGTCAGATACATGCTATCAAACAAAGATTAGCACATTCAATTGTAGTGAATTTTAAGGGTCTTCTTGTGACCACATTCTTCAGTTATATAGACTTTTCATAGAAGGAATTATCAAATGGCTCGATTGTTTATGCATTCAGTCACATTTATTGCTCCCACAGAGGTGAACCAGACTCTTCTGAGAATTTTGAACATGTTAGAGAAAGTGCCAGCTCTAGCCAGGTTATGTGCTAGTGAGGGAGACCACCCATTAGCAAGTGAACAATAGACATCATTTCTGATAGTTCCAAGTTGGAGGAGCAAGAGTGGGTATATGTGGGACAGCCAGAAAGGGGTCCTTTTAGGAAATTTGACTTAATCTGCAATTTAAGCAGCAAAAAGGCTATCAGTACATTGTTGGGGGTAGCAGAATATTTCACCCCAAAGCTAGTGCAAAAATAGGGAAGGGGCATCCCTCACATACCTCTTCAGTCAACTTACAACCAGTCTGGTTTTGTGTGATCTTAGGTCTTTCATTCTTTCATTTTCAATGCTTAGATCCAAAACAGCAGCATTTACTCAATACCAGCCTGTGCTCAATCTTGTATCCTATGAGTATATCAAACTGAATAAAAACCAGTGTTTCATCAGTGCATTTGGAACTTAAAACAAAGACTCCCGAGCCCTTCCTGGTGGCGCAGCGCAGCGGTAGCTGCGAGCCACAGCTGCTTCAGTACGAGTTCAATCCCTGGTCCCGAAGGTGACCCACATGGCGCGGCAGACCTCTCACCTGCTGCTACCTGACTCACCCGCTGCTCCCCTCAGCAGTGTACTTCGTCGATCTGCCTGTTCTGCTCCCCACTCTGTCTCTGGTGAATCCTCTTACTGCCCCTGCACCTCTGGCTTATACCCCAATTCTGTATGCACAAATAAAGATCTTAAAAAAAGAGCGAGCGAGAGAGAGAGACTCCTACATACAAAGTCTGTATGCTGTGAAAAATAACTAAGCCAGATATTATGGGAATACAGAAGAAAAAGCTCATTCTTTCCTGAAAAATGGAAAATACGGAGTTTGATGAACTTACAGAGGGTAATAGTAAGAGATGAGAGTAAGGAAAGAGCATGAGGGGAAAGTGGAGCATATTGGTGGGGGGAGTAAGCGATTAGAATTAGAGTGTTTAGGGAATAGTGATGGAGATACAGCTGGAGGCAGGGGCGCGGTAGCATCCTGAAAAGCTTAAGTTACCACAGTAAGAAGTTTAAGTTTGGGCCTCCCTGCTGGCCTAGGGGTTAAGTCTCAGCACTGTCACCACTGCAGCCTGAGTTCCATCCCAGCTAGGATGCGACCCACATGCTGCAGCAGACCTCGCCTGTCTAACCCACTGCTCTCCTCCACAGTCCCGTTTAATAGATCTACCTGTCTTGCTCCCCATTCTATCTCTTGTGAGTCCTCTTACACTCCTGCCCCACTTACACCTCTGGCCTGCAACCCAGTTCTACACATAAATTTTTTTAAAAGGGAGTTTAAGTTTTATTCTGAACATAACAGAGAACAAATCATTAACAATGAGCCAGAATAACAGCTCGGTATTTTACACAGTCTTCTGATGACCATAATTTATTAATAGCAATTCAGATGGGTGCTGTCTAAAGTCGAGATGCCTTTAACTGTAAACATGACTGAGCCTTATTCAGTTCAGTGAATGCAGGATGAGCCTTTAAACCACAGACTTACAGTTTCTGTTTCGGATTTCAGGTTTCATCGTCCATAATGAAGTGGGAGAGTCTTTGGAAACAGACTGATCATCTTTGGAGGAAATCTCACTTCCTGAAAACCTGACATTGCACTGGGATTTGAATGTGTATGTTTGCTTTTAACTGGTGTGAGGGAAGCATGTGCAAAGCACTGGGACGTATTCCCCACCTGTCAGCCCAGTGGGGCCCACAAGCCAAGGGCGGGGTGCCGTGGCCTTTACTGTCCAGCATGTGTGGAGGCGGTAAGGGACACCATGGTTACACCAGTTACTCTTCATCGAGAGTTTTTAACCAGAGATGAACAGAAGACAATCGCTGGCTGCCTGTTACCTGAAAGCCAAGTTTTAGAGTGCAGGTCAAAGAAAAATGTGGACTGCAATTGCTGGGGAGTGGAATGGGGCGGGGCTGACAATCAAAAAGTAAGAGGAATATTTCATTACGTTAATGAAGAAAAGAGAAAATTAAACATAAGTGTATTTTTTAAGAGAATAGTGGAGAATTTAAGAAATTTGGGAAATCCCAGAGTGGATTCCTTAAAGGCCTAGTCCTAAAAGGAAGTAATTTTTTCACCATTGTGTTGATACAGTGTAATACCATTATTTAATGTTGTGCCAGTGAATCCAATTGCCAGATGTAGGTCGTGAGTGTTCTCGTGCATCATTTTCTTGATGCAGGCAGCTTCTATTGACTCATAACATGCACGCTTAACCAAATTTTGTTGCAAGCTTTAGGTAGCAGAACTATTCACACTTTACTTTTTTTTTTTTTTTTAAGTATTCCTTATCTAATAGGCCATCATGTCTGGGAATAAAATCTGATATAATGTAGCCTTATACATCTGTAGCAAGTTTTAGAATGAAGTCACCTGATCTTTTTCTTTATGTTTATCCTCAACATTGAAATAACCATACTTTATCTAAGAAAGATGATATTGACAATCATGACACCTTAAAAAAAAACAAAACCTGAATCCAAAGTTAGAACTTTAAAGAAGTTCAAGTCTGTTACCAGCAGTTAGTCTGAATGGGAATACAAAGGACACCTGTTTTCAGCACTGTGTTAAGTTGAATTGCTGCTATTATAAAAATAAAGCATATAATCAAAAAAAATTCACCCAAAGGTTTAAATAACAGAAAATTTGGTCAAAGTTGCTGGTTAGGAAACCCTCATCTCTTATTTTGAGTCTGCAGGTCGCATCCATAAATATAATATCAACTGTCAATGAGAAAGAATCAGTGAGAATAGTCGCTGGTTGTTACTTATGAGCCTGTAATCGGTGTTGTTTACATTAAGTAACCGTCGGTTGTCACCGTGCTACTTCCTGTGGAGACTTGGGCCTACATGTCTCCCAGATACACAGGACTATATGTAAATACTGCTTTTCAACACTTGATCTTAGCCAAAAGGCCGAGAAGCGATAAATACTACTTTACAATGACGGGTTGTTTCAAGTGTTTTGTGCCCTTCGATTCAACACACACGAGATGTATAATAACTAAACAAGACCTAACTGGACTTTCTTTTACTCTTGGAAGGTAGACGAGCATTTTCTGAAATGGTTCTGTTCATAGACTAGAAGACTAATTTTTTTACTTCAGCCAGCGAGCAAATATATAATCTGGAGGAACACTTTGGATTCTGCCCTTCCTTTATATCTTAAAGAATCACGTAAGTTGGATGATTTTGCTTAGAAGTAAAAATCACTTAGTCCCAGTTGACCTGTTACAAAAAGCCAGGAGGACCATTTGCAACCAAGATGAGTAGCCAGTATCGCTTCAGCTCTGCTTGCACTGGTCATCTCTTGTCAATCAGATAAGGCTTATTTTTACTTTAAAATGTTCTGCTTTCCCACGTGTCTCTCTCAAATTAAAGACTTGTCCATTTTATAGTATTTAAATCCAGCCAGAGACCTTTGTTCTAGTTTTTCACTGGTCAGCTGTTCTTCATATTATTTTATGGCCATTTTAATTTCTTGGGCAAAAGAGCACACAGTGTCATTTTCCCTCTAATTTTATATACTTACAAGCTTTGAACTTTGTTTTGATTTCTAGCCCCAACACCTCTATAAAAAATGGTATATATAAGACATCATTTTATTATTCAAGATACCTGTCATAGAAAGTCTATTTGGTCGGAAAGGCACAGTCTTTCCCCACTTGGGGTGTATGCATATGATAAACTTTTTCATCCCCTGCAGTGAGATGCACCCAGTACAGAAATGACAATCTGACACCTCAATATATTGTTTTCCTCATTGGAGAGATCAGATTTATGAACTACCCACACTTAATTTCTTTATACAGCTTGACTTGCTTAGAAAAAAAATTTTGGAAGCGAGAAAATTTAAAAAATTAACTACTGCCAGCCTAGTATTGAAGAATTGGAACCACCAATTATTTCATTAAAAGGAGTCTTCAAACAGCAAGCTCTGGCTAGAATCAAAGGACTATTGTTTTGTGCAGAATTGGTTCAGTAATAGTGACTAATTTTCAAAAAGCAGAAACTGAACGTCTGCTCCAGCAGACCTCTCAGTGGGCTTCGGCTGACAGCCATAAAACATGCAAAGGTGGGGACTACCTTACAGATAACTATGCCTCTGCCTACGGCAGCCAGTCAGCTGCAGCTCTACAAAGAAAATAAATGTGTGTGGATTGGGTGGTTAAGACAGAACTCCAGGTGTTTCTCTGTTTGAAGTGACGTTAGTCTAATGGAGGGAGTGGATTTTGCTGAATCCACAGGATAGGGTAAGGAAGAAAACAAACTCACCTCCAGGAAAGTCCCAGGCAAGAAAGAAAGGCAGCCCAGAGAAACGCTAAAAGCCCAAGCCACCATTTACCTTTTGCTTAGAATGAAGTAAAAGAGTGTTCATGTTATGATACTAAGAAGATACCATGTGCTTTATCCGCATCTGGGTGGTCATGACCAATTAGTTTGACAAAGTCAGTTCTCTTGGTAATCAGGGTTAATTTTAGGTTCCCTACCAGAGAATGTCTGGGTAGGTGAAATGCCTGTTTTGTTTGTTTTTTTGTTGTTTTTTTTTTATAGTCGATGTAGCTTACTTTCATTAAGTAATCTAGACAAAAACTATATATTCAGAGGATCGTTTGGGGTATTTAAGTAACCGATTAAAAGGATGAAAAACAAATTCATTTCTTCTGGTTTACCCAGAAAACAAGTACTTCTGGTATCCTTGCCATGCCCACTGTATGTATCTTGGTTACGATCACTTATCTTTGTCTAGTGTCAGCAAAGCTAGTGTTAGTAGAAAGTTCTAAAATGGAAGTAAAAACCTGTTAAGGCCATAGAGAAATTGAATATACCTCTCAAAAAGCACCAAATACGGAAAATGTCTTAAATCCCATGTCAGGTTTTACACAATGCATTTAATTCAGTGCTGCTTTGACATTTAAAAATAAGTACAGTATCTTACATTTTAAAAAGAGAGAAATCTGCATTAACACTGCATCTTAGCTCAGATCCACATTTTTCCATATAATGGGCATTTTACTTATGCCCAATAGAGTTAGACAGACACAACTTTCAAAAACTGTACTGTATTCATCATAGACATAGGCAGTCACATCTATCACACAGTCGTTTGTCCATATTTAAATAGTAAAAGCATTCTTTTCTTCCTTTCTTGCTCAAAAGTTGGTTTGTATTCTTTTATCCAGCATCACATTTCACAGAGTAAGAAATCTCTAGGAGCAAGGGAAACAAACTATTACAAAATGTGTAAATCTCTTCAGTATGGAGGCTTAAGAATTCCTAAATTTCATTCCTATTATTGAGCCTATCCTTAATGGTAAAAGTATATACTGAAACAGGAGTAATGGCTTTATATCATTGGGGTATCTTGTGAGCACTAATGAACCACTTAGACACCTATAGTTACAAAGTTCCCTTGAAATGGCTAATCTTCAACTACTGAGTATTGCTCTCTGTTTATTGGTAGGATCTATCACATTGTTTCACTTGCAAAGCTAATGACCTTCTAGAACTGAAATATGCCCTAAAGGAGAATAACGGCAAAAGTGTTCATCAAATGGAAATGGACTGTAAAACCCTATTAAGGCAATAGAAAAACTGAATACATCCCTCAATACCATCGTATGTGGAAAATAATTCTTTCAGTCCCACGTCAGGGTTTACACAATGCAGTTAATTTAGTGATAGTATCATCTTTCTCAGAAAAAAACACACCTCCAAATAATTCAAAGCCCAGTTTAAAAGAGCAGCCTACAGAGCCACTTTGCTAGTGACCAGTGAGGGGTGAAGGACACTTCATGACCATTCTCATAGTCACTTTCCATTGACTTTTTACAATCATTAAGATTAAGTTCTTTATGGAAATGCAAACCACCACTAGTATACCTAGAAAACAACAGATAGATAGTCAACCTATCCAAAATAAGACTTCCACTGTAAGATTTCTACAAAAAAAAAAAAAAATGGAGAGCCCTGTGGCAGTTACCCCTGCATCAGATCGACCCTATTGGCAAGAGTTATTTTTTGCTATGCTAGAATTTATTGCACACACACATAAAATGTCATTGAGCTTGTTGCATTGCTAGCGCAGCTGCATATAAGAGCAAAACACTGTTGATCGATGTTTCTCAGCCGGGGTGCTGTTGGCATTTACAGCTGGGCAATTCTTTGTTGTACAGAAATCTCCACTACATTGCAAGATGCTTAAATCTCAGGCCTCTGCTGACTAAATGTCAGTAGCGTTCCCAGTCTTTGTAAAATCCAAAACATAGCGCCCTCCTCCATGTCCAAATGCCCTTCTAGGAAGGCCGGACCTTCTTCCTTGAATACCACTGTCAATTTGGGGGCACAGGGAAAAGTGCCTACCTCAGAACATTATCTTCATTCATTGCTTTGCATTTCTTTGGGCCCTTAATACTGTCTTCCACGTTTATTATTTTCAAGCCTCTGCTTCTATGCAGCTTTCATTTGCCAAGTCTTCAAGGAGGCAGTTCCTGGGCACCTTGGCAGTTGCAGTGGGAGGAATACAAAAAGGAGAGGCTTCCCTCAGCCCTGTACAAAAAAAAATAAGAGGCTACACAAGAGGCAAACTTCTTATTTTCCCTTCACCGCACAATTTTACTGGAACTACACTGCAAGCTATAATGCTTGTCAATATCATCAGGATAGATGCATGGCTTAACCGTAACTAACCCCTCACAAATGCAAAACTGGTATTCTATGAAAATCATCACTAGCTGTCACTTGATAAACTGCATCCACTACGTTCCAAAACAAGTATTCAACCCATGTGCGTAAGCTTGATTCAATCCCCCTCATTAATGGAGTCATGCAGTTGGACCTTTGAGAGCTGTGTGAATACTGAACTATGAGGAAACATGGATTAACTGAGGCTTTGTATGCATTGTTCACACTTTGATGTTGGTTCTAACACAAAACAAGATGAGTTTTATTGGGTGGAACATTACTAAACTATTCTAAGAATACATAAACATACTTATCTTCTTCCACTTTTATCGCTGAAACTGAATGATAAACATTATTTGGATGAATTGGCTAATTCATAGTGGGCATTAAGTTAGCCACTATAACTTTTTTAAATATTCCAATTTCTAAATACCCTTTTTGAGGCAGAGCAACTGGGAGTTGATAAAGCTAAGTTTATATGGTGAAATTTTAGATGGTGCTTAAGCCTTATCTTGCTATGAAGCAATTTTTTTAAAGAATAAATGGAAGGGATTAAATGGGACAAAATGCCACTTAACCCTCAGGTCAACTTTTTGGTGTATTAAAATGCCAATAATATTTGTGCCACTTGCCAACTTGGGGGAACTTTTCCCTGACTGGAAACTTTTGCTCTAGTTTGTGTTTTGTCTTGAGAGAGCCAATGCAAAGGGAAGTCGCCATTAGAATGCTAATTAGCATTCAGAAAACATGCTGAATGAATCTAGGGTCAAACCACTTTCATCCCTAAAAATACAGGAACTAATTTTTTTTTAAATAATTACTCTGTGGCTTAGAAATGTGCCAATGTGTTCAAAACATTGCACCAATTTCCAGATTTAGTACTAAAAACTCAAACTTTTCATTTTTTTCTATGTAACAAAAGACAAAACAAAAAACTTTTCATTTTTTTCTATGTAACAAAAGACAAAACAAAGACTATCTGCATTCTTTTGTTATTGCAAGTTTTGGTTAAAATGATAAGAATGGTAAGCTGTGATCATTATCAGACTGACTGAATGATTTCTGATTTCCAGTGAGTGATCTAATTCTATTACACAGGTATAATATCTGTGAGTGTAAATAACTGGAACTGTAAACTGATTAACATGACAGTTTCTCTCCCTTTTTTTGTGGTTGTTCTTGACCTGTACTGTATTATAGTATGTGGGTATAAATATCTACAAGTATATACACACATATGTATATGTATCCCACTATTGTAACATGAAAGAAACTATGTATTATCTTTTTTATTCTGTACTGGTGTTTGTGTTATTTAAAAAGCAAAATTATGCTCTATTTAGTTGTATAATATTATAGGATACCTTGCTGTGCACAATTCCAAGTGCCTTAGAACATTGTTTAGCTTTCTTAAGTATATATAAATGCATATATGTATAAAATTGGGAAAAGTTACCTCAATAAAAATCATTGGGAAATCCCTCCTTTTGCTTGGCTCCGATTTGTCTCATATTCAGACAGTGTTCAGTTCATTTAAATTAGAAACTCACAAAGTCCTCACTTGTAAAACAAGAATGAGATAGCTATTGTAATTGCCTATTTCTTCAACTTGACCAAAAAAAAATACTCCTGTATGGAAGACCTTGGGCCTGTACTTTTTAAACTATCTATCTAAAGAATTATTGCTCTAAACTGCAGTTTACAGTATGTTTTTTAAAATTTTCTGTCATGCTATATCTGAAGATATTTGATACTGATGGTTTTTATTGATGTTGTAGTACGTAAAAAGACACTTCCTTTAAAGCTTATAATATAGCAAATAAACTTCCAAATTATGTTTACTATTAATGTATTATACACAAGAAGAAAGGTTGGAAACATGTTGTCCAGAAAAAGAAACTGGGATCTTTTCTTCATGTTTTCCATGTCTTTACAAACTGTAACTCAGCCTCTTTCAACTCCAGGTCAAGGTCAACACGATTGAAAGTGAAGATGAAGAACAATCTTGTTATTATTAACATATGAAATGAAGATTGAGACCAAAAAATTGAAAATAAGTTTGACAATTTGGACTCAAGTGTGTTATTAAATATTAGCAATACTGGGCCCTCCCTGGTAGTGCAGCAGGTTAAAGCTCCACACTATGAAGCTCTCCGAAGCCACTGCAGAAAGAGTTCAGTCCCCATCCAGGGAGCTGACCCACATGGTGTGGCAGACCTCTCCTGCACCTGCTCACTGCTCCTCTCAGCAGTGTATTTCAGTACATCTGCCTGTTCTGCTCCTCGCTCTGTCTCTGGGGAATCCTCTCACCCACCATATCTCTGGCCTGTACCCCAGTTCTGTAAGCATAAACAAATATTTAAAAATAAACAGCAAAACTTTGCTAAGTTAGGTAGAATCATTCAACCACTACTTGCCATTTTTGCTCACACTAAACAATGTTCTACATTGAAATACTCCTTTCTGAAGCCCAGTGGACACAGGAATGGATTGTTTTTTCATTGTATACTGTGCTTTAATGCATTGGATTTTTTTGTAATTGAATTCCTTCTTGGACCTCACCTTCGACATATGTACAGAGTTGCTACCATTAGCTACGATGGCACAGTCAACCCAAGTCTTTGCTCAGCTCATGTGTTTTGAACTCTTTCTCCTTTAAAAGGTGGCCACTGATAATAGAACCCACTAAACTCTAGGGAAAGGCTGAGAATCTGAAGTTTGTATGTAGTGTTATGAGAGATTTTATGGAAATGCACCATTTTCAGCGACTAAACAGCAGGGGAAGCTGTAAAAGATAATGTTTAAAAATCAGAGAACTATGCTGGGGAGGAGAAAACTAGCATTTTCAGTACTTGTTGACCCAAAGATTTGTTACTGGATGGACTTTTGACCTTGACTGGCCCAAGTCAGGTAATCTAGAGCAAGGCGCAGTCAACATTGGAAAATTTTGCCTTAAGTGTTTCAGGAGGGACACTCAGCAGTGTAAACTTGGCTACGGGGCATCTTTTCCCACAGGCAGCTTAAATTAGCCCAGTGTTGATAACCTGTGAAATTGTGGCCATTACCTCCCTGAGTCTTCCCAACCAAGCCCCTCTTACACTACTACCACATTAATCTTCCTATAGGGCAACTCTTCTATTCCTACTCAGAATTCCCCATGGAGTCCTCCTCCCCTGTGACTAACTCCTACATTGTTCATCTAGTCTTCAGGGTCTTCTGTGCTTCTGCCATGCCACAGTTCCTGATCAGTGCCCTGTTCTTCACTTAGGTCAAAATGGAAGACCTCATAATAGTGGCCTTCCCCATTCCTTCCTTCCCCAACACATCACGCACCCTTCCAATACCACAAATTTGTTTACAAAGTTTCCCACCAACTAGAGCCCTCTACTCAGGTCCCACCTGTTCTAGGAAGAATTCAAATGTCAAATTCTTCAACAGCTTTTGTGTAATAGTTTCTAGAAGTGTTAAACAGCACATAAGAACTCCACAAATATGACTTCTTACAAGCATTTCAAATGGTCAGATGTGACTGTGTGAAGCATTTTATCAACACGCTCAAATTGGATATATTCTTTTTTAAAAAAGATTTATTTATTCATTTATGCATACAGAACTGGGGTATAGGCCAGAGGTGCAGGGGCGGTGAGAGGATTCACCAGAGACATAGTGGGGAGCAGAGCAGGCAGATGGACTGAAAGACACTGCTGAGGGGAGCAGAGGACAAGACAGGAGAGGTCTGCCACACCATGTGGGTCAGCTCTCTGGCTGGTGAGGGAACTTGTGTTGCAGTGGCTGCAGATAGCTTCATAGTGTTGCACGTCACCAGGGAGGCCTCTCTGATAAATTGTAAATGTGTTAAATAAAAAATTCTTAAGCACTATATTATCATTTACAAGTGTAAAAATATGGTTTTTGAACTTTGTAAGTCTAGAATTAGTTATATAGTTTAAAATTGGAATTTCATGGCTAATTGGTTAAATTCTACAATATTCTGTTTTTTTAACTACACATACTTTAATGCCACAGTTATATATTAACAAATTGTCCCAAAAATTACAAAACACAAGCATCACACAAAATAACGTATTCACAATTATAAACCTTCCCATGTTTTTAGAAATATTTAGGCACTATGAAAAGCAGGTCTTAAAACTTTATGAAAACTGAAATTACTGGATTAATGATTTATAGTATGCTTAAAGATCAAAAATCCAGTACTGAGGAATGTGTCTTATGAGCTTCCTACTTATGGGAAAAATTTGTTTGAACTACAGAGATATATTCAGCATCATTTTCAATCCCTTTAGCTTGAGAGATCTCCAAATCCACAGCCTTCAGCAAGGACTGTCCTTGTTAAACCAGATTCAAACTATATTGTAAACTGTTCTTTCGTCTGATAAGGCAGAAGGAAGTCTGCATTCCAGGGTTGCATTCAACAATATTTCACTGCTTGAAATTTTACAGATTTTATCATGTCTTTCTCCTTGTTCTTTTTGTTTGTTTATTTTTTGAAGTTTTATTTATTTATCCATTGAGGAACTGAAGTGTGGGAGTGAGAGGATTCACCAGAGAAAGTGGGGAGCAGAAGGCAGATCCACTGAAATACACTGCTGAGGGGAGCAACAGGAGACACAGGAGAGGTCTGTGGTGCCATGTGGGTCAGCTCCCTGGCCATCCATAGATAGAACTCATGCTGATACCTTCATTGTGCTGTGCTTTAACCCATTGCACCACTGGGGAGGCCCCATAGGCTTTTCTCTTTGACAAAGACACAACTCATTTAAATGACATTCAGTTTAAGTCTGTAATTGCCCCATACCAAAGTCTAGTTTCATTTGTCCCTAAGCCCTAGCTCTATAATTGCTAACATGGCACAACTAAAGATGAAAGCTGAGCTGAGGATAGAAGCCAAGGGATAGAAGAATAAAGAGCTCAGCAAAGTCCTTATCAACCTTCTAAAAGTGTTTGGAGTTCATCCTTAAGACAAGCGGGATCCACTGAAGAATTTCAGCTCAGGGGTAGCATCCTCAGATTTGCTTTCATCACACTGGCCATGAAGGATGAGACTGAGGACGTGAACTCAGAAGCCTGGACACTCACTATTGCTTTAGCCTGGTTGGGAAATCATGGTGTCCCAAACATGGTGTGAGCTGTTGGAATAGCGAGACTGAGTGAACTCACTGGGGCAGCTGGGAGATAGAAGCAATGCTACACACGGGAAGTGAGGGAGATAGAAGACAAAAGACAAAGGTGATGCTTCGAACTTACGCAAATAGGTGGATGGTGACAGTGACATTTGCGAGATAGAAAACAGCAGAGGTAACATGTCAGTAAGACAGGAAGTGGGGGTGAGGAGAGGCAAGGCCGTAGTGACGGATTCAGTTCTTGATATGAAATTCAGTTGGTTGGTTTGCCTGCTTATTGGAACATGAACATCAGGATAGATGTTCAGAGGTTGACTATATGAGTCTGAAGACCAGGAAAAGGTTCTGGACTACAGAGAGAAGAGAATCAGCAGTACATCTAAATGAAGCTATCGAGACTGATACACCCCCCAACAGACAATGTAATTCAAGACTGTGAAGAAAATTACTGCAGTGAAAATTCAGTCAACTATTTTGTTCATAGCTTGGCTTCATTTTCAAGACCATAGAATCATTTAGTTTGCACAACATCTGACTGCTTTGGAGGATATAGTTTTCTAATTTAACTGAATTTTACTGGTTAACTTCATTGAAATAAAATGGAGTTGCACCTTATGCAGGGTGTTAAGTTATAAAGCAAAAATTATATTGAAAATAACTTTTCTTGATCTAAACATGATATCTAGACATATCCAAACAGACTGTTTATATCTATCTACAATCAAATATGTGGCTGCTTCCTTAATTTAGCTACATGTAGTAAAGTTTACATTTAGGTGCTACAGTGAGTTTAAAAAGGGAAACTGGGGCCCTTCCCAGTGGTGCAACAGGTTAAAATGTCGCACTGTGAAGCTAGCCACAGCTGCTTCAGCATAAGTTAGATCCCGGGCCAGGGAGCTGACCCACATGGCATAGCAGACCTCTCCTGACCCGCCTGCTGCTCCTCTCAACAGTGTACTTTTTCAATGTGCCTATTCTGCTCCCCACTCTGTCTCTGGGAATCCTCTCACTGCCCCTGCACCTCTGGCCTGTACCCCCATTATGTATGCATAAATAAATAAATCTGAAAAGAAGAAGGGAAGCCCTTACCTTGAACTATAAGAGTTACCCCAGTGCAGTGACATGCTCATAACAAGCACAGGGAATAGAGTGTTGAAAGATAAATAGTAAAATCTCGGCTCATTGATGTAATAACAGGTGGAGTCATTCTATAGCAATGCAATCCCTCAACAGTAATGCTACTCAAATCTTATTTCTCTCATTTGGTGAAGCATAAAGTGAAATGCATAAATTAAATGCATGCATGATGTAATTATACTATAATTTCTACACATTTTC